TAAATGGAACTGTTTTAGTTGCTGGTGGATACGATGGCATTGATTACTTGACTAGTGCAGAAGTGTATGATCCATCGACAGGACTCTGGACAACTACCGGCGACATTTTCATTGAACGAGACTATCACACAGCATCCACGTTAACAACTGGGCAAGTATTACTTGTTGGTGGACAGAATGGTGATAGTGTTTTGAGTAGTACAGAACTATATGGATGATGATGATTGGAGTGCAAAGCTCTTGAATAAAGTAGGACTTGAAATATAATAAAATATTTAATCTTCGAGTTTGTGAGTAAACTGTTGCGCCATCTACACAGTATTCAGTCATTGTTTCTCTCTTTTCTCCTTCGTGTGTCATGAATTATCTCTTTTATCTGCTTTTCTCTTTCTCATCATTGATGTGTGCGTCGATCGTTTTCTTATGTACAATTTAACTAGCCAGTGTTTGTGAGATGTGTCGAGTGAACTTTTCCAGTTTTTCTCTTTCTTCTATTACGAATTATGATATGAGGAAAATTAAACTCCTCTATATATTTCATAACTCTTTTCTTTTTTAAGTTTAATACTTTGTTATCTTGTTTCGTTCGTTTTCTCTTTTTATTTTTCTATTTTTTTTTGTAATGTCTAAATTCTGTACTACCAAGACTTAATGATCAACAGTTATTGCAAAATAAAAAGAACAAAGTATTTTCGTTCTTCTTTAAAGGCATCATTTGGGTGACAGTATGAATGTGACTGTAGATACTGTAATCAATCTCTGCCCACATTTACACTCCCATTCCCGTCAAGAGTTATTCAGAGAAATACTTCATCTATTGACGAAAAATAGTGATGAATCATCTCTCTATATTACTAATCATAGTCAATGTTTGAAATGAAATAATCAAAATGGAAATAAACTTTACTCATCATGAAAACAAAAACTTTATTATTCATGTTGATATAGTGACATAGAAGATAAAGTATTGTGCGAAGAAAAGAATAAAAAAAACATGTGCGTGCGTGTGTGTGTGTGTACATGTTATTCACCTATGCAAAGAAAGAAATCGAGCTGTATTTAACCACTTGTGTAAAAAGAAAAAAAAGTCACATTTCAGTCACTTTTTACAAGTTTTAAGTTTGAAGAAAAGCAGTTTGATAAAAAGAACAACGATATAAAAATGAGTTCTTCTCATCGTCTCAAAGGTCTTCTATCGATAACTGTACTTAAAGCAAATAATTTAATTAAGGGTGATTGGCTTGGTGAAAATGATTGTTATGCCGTTCTGTCACTTGAACCGCTTCCACTTCAATCAATAGGAGACCTTAGAAACAAAGATCGACAAACAGAAATCGCGCAAATGACGCAGATTCATGATGGTTCAAATCCAGTTTTTAATGAAAAACTTATTTTTCCTGTTGCTGATAAATTAGATATGTTATATGTTCAATTATGGGATGCTGATCCAGGTAAAGATGATCTTTTAGGACATGGAACATTGAGTTTACTTGATGATGATCAAGGTGGTCAATTTGATACAAATACAAAAAAAGAATGGCTTTATACAACAACAATTTCCTTAACTACTGAAAAAGGTAAACAAGGTGGAACAGTAGAAATTGTGCTTCATTTTATTCCTGAAACAGTTGCTGCTTATATGGAAAAAAGGTTCGATGCTGCACAAGCAGAATTAAAAAAGAAATTAACACAACAAATAGTAGCGAAAGTGACCGGTGCAGCTTCGAGCCAAATTCAAGGATTTATGGGCATTGGTAATTAAGATTTTAATATGAACTTTCTGCTTTTGATTGATGTAGTTGTTCTTTGAGTACTAAATAAAATATATATTTCCTGATTATAAAAACAAGAATGAATATAATGTAAAAATATTTCAGTCATCCACATACTCAAGATGGTATTCTCTGTAAGGAAGAAAAAATAAAATCATCTATTTTTGCTCTTTTCTCTGTAACAGAACATATGGCGTGTTCTTTTTTCATAAAAAAGTATGGATGTGGATATATTCGAAACATTCATTAAAATTTTGTTTCTGAAAGCGCCTCAGACATATTACATTGTTTATTTTAGGCAATCACTAAAAAAAAATAATTAATAATAAAAAATAGTTTGCATATTTGATAAAGTGATGCTTTGGCAATAGATTTTGTTTTAATCAAATAAAGAAGTTCTATAAATATGATTGAAATTTCGTTTCATTGTATGCTCTGCTTTAAATTGCTACTCTTGTTTTATGATCAAATGAAAAAAGAAAATTATATTATATGAAGGACTCGTCTGTCATTCTTTTTGTGGAATAAAATCATGCAATTAGGTCGTATCTCACTACAATCACGGCAGCCTTCGGCTTGGCGTATAAGCCGTAGTAATCTGGATAATACAGCAACATATACTCTACCTGTCAGACAATCCGTTGATAGTCGTGGCTATCAACATATTCCGTTGCGTAAGAATATTCCTCAACGGGTTTCTCGTGTCTCACTTTCTGAAAGGCAATCTCAAGCATATCGATCATCTGTTCATAATCCATGGGTTCGTAATGCGAGCGATCAGCAGAGTCCTTCGGTGAGTGATTTTTAACTTTAGATCAAGATACTCTATATTTAATCTTGGTTTTCCGCTAGTCGATAACATCTGAATCACCAACATTGCGAGATAATTTTGGATCTCTATTTCATAAGCAGAATGATTCTGGCAAGACAAGAAATCGACAAAAAACAAATCGTCTTCGAAAAGCTTTTCTACTTATATGTGGTTGTCTTGTACTTCCATTTTTACTAGCGCTTCTACTTGCTTTACTTCTTGGATTTCTTTATCGTACGTATAGGTTGCTTCTTTGATTGAAATATTTGATATGCCATGATCTGTACTAATACACAGATCCACAGTCTTCCAAAACAACTATTGGTGTAACTTTTACCACTACAACATCAACAACATCAACAACATCGAGTAAGTATCTTAAGATTGTCACACAGTCAATGATCTTTTCTTCTTCTTCTTCTGTTTAGCAACAACGAGCACAACAACTGTGACTACGACGACAACAACAGAAAGTACGACGACTACAACAGGTGAATATCAAAATGTATTATCATTACTACACATTATTCATTTTATTTTTTACTTTTCAGTAACACAAACAACGACGACGAGTACCAGTACAGCTACGAGTAAGAAATTAAATTAAAAAATTTATAAAGAATTCATTTTTCTTTATTTTAGCTACAAGTACAACAATCAGTAAGTTTCTTACATTGATGATATTGTCTAGTAAATAAAATCTTAACTTCTTTTTAGCGACAAGTACTACAAGTAAGTTCTTGTTTAGATTTAAATATTGTGTAATATCATTATGTCAAGGTACAACAACCACAACAACATCTTCATCAACAAGTAAATTTTTATTTTGATAGAAGGTTTCTTTTGAAAAACAACTGAGGATGTGAGAGAATATTTCGTTTCGTTGGGCAATCCTATCTGAATACATATATTTCACTTGCGAAAAATTTGCATTTACAGATGCAGCTCATATTTACTTCTGATGGCACTTTTATTATTTCTTTTTTTTTCATTAATTACAGCTACAACAACAACAATAACAACGACGACAACGATGACAACAACAACAAGTGAGTACTATTGTTCGTATATTTCTTCAAACAAACATATTTTTGTTTTTGTTATGCCTATTAGCATTTAACTGTGCGTCCACTATTAATTCAACTTTAGAGTCATATGGAAGGTCCGATTGTGCAAGAGACCATTGGCATACATTTTCAAACAGCTTTGTCGCATCATATACTGGTATAAGTACACTCGTATTTTCCTTCACTTCTATCAGCGGTGCCACTGTGTACTTAACCAATATCATAGTAAATGATACTAGTAACATTCAACTACTTAACAATGGAGATTTCTCTGCGTCATCTGGATCAACACCAACGAATTGGCTTAAATGTGCCGATTTTGGACAAGTTTATTCTTCATGTGCTGTCGCGACTTCCAGTGCATGTTATACCATCCCAACTCAGGGTGGTTTTATTTCACAATCGTTCTCAGTCGTATCTGGTACACATTATACCGTTCAATTTGATCTCTATCATCATTCTTTTTCTGGGAATAGTGGTACATTTACATTGGATGTCGCTGCTGTCTGAATGATATCACTATTAAAACTTTGAAATAAACATACAGTTGATAAATCTTTTTAGTTTGAATGATTATTTGTACTCCTATATTCATCA